AACGTATAACACCATAACCGAAGTATATTATATGAAACCGTAGCCGTAGACCTTTCTTGTTAGAAGCATTAATGGTTTAAATATATATATATATGTGTGTGTGTGTGTGTGTGTGTGAGTGTAATAAAAACAAAGAAGTAATGACTAGCAGAAATTTGATGGAGCAGAAGTGTTGATCCATAATGAATAGGAAATTGGAGGCGAAGGCAGATTAAATCTTTATATTTTATTTCAGCAAACATGTTGGCACATTAATTGTACCTATTCCATAAAAATTTTACATTTTAGATAATTTTGCAGTAAGATGGAGGAACATACAGAAAGTCCAGCTAGGCCAAAGCGTAGAAAGCAAGCGCTGGCTGTTCGAGGTTTAGTTCCATTTACATCATCAGAACTACGTAAGAAATAATATGACATAGATTAATCTCGAAATGACGTAGTGCAAATAGAGGTTATTATTTTTAGAATACAGAAGGGAATTTAAGCTGCTAATTTGATCTTTCACATATTCTTTATTTATCTTACATATATATTTTCTTTTTCGATGATCGGACACTATCGTAAAAGAAATTCATCAAAAAAGCCAAACCTTTTGGTATTTTAACAATTTTATGACCGAGAACGCAGCCAACAGGAAATAGACCTATATTAAACCTGTGAAGAAGGCGGAAAAGGACATTCGCATGCCACCGAATCTTATGCTGGAGTCAAATTCTTGTTTAGTGATAGCAGTTAGCTTCTGCTAACCACTGTACAGTTCAGGATGAGAGGTGAATATATATAAAAATTACCATTTAGACGGTCTTTCATAATGCCATAAACAATATTTATAAGTGTTTTATAGCATATATTTAAATAAATTATTTCAAAGCATGTTGTTATTTTACAGTTTCTTTCAATGCATTCGTAAACAATGTGCTGATATAATCGAGAATTATAAACAATGAAATGAAGCTGAAATATAAAGAATTACGTTTTTATTCACTCAGTATCTCATACTAGTAAACAAAGCACTGTTATAATTTAAAGTTCCAATATGCTTGTTATGTTGTTCCAATATGTTTGTTAAGGTTCCAGTATGCGGAAAGTGCAACAGTTCTCAGAACGAAACATTTGCCAGGACGCTCAAGTGATTAATGCTTGGATAGAAAAACATAATATTACATGATCCAAAAAACAGAGAAATTAAGATGTGGACATTCTTATTCCTAATGTAATGAGTAAGTAATCGATATAGAAAGTGTTATTCATCCCTTTCGGATCATGGAAGTCTATAGTAATGTTTCCCCTTTCCGTTCTTCTGGTAAAGAAGAGAGCAAAAAATGTTTAATTATCCATGAATAAAATTAACAAATAATGCTTTGATAGCTCCTAAACTTACTGATCAGAACTAATTTATGAATTTAATGTGATTTTATCTAGAAGTAATTTATTTCGAACATTTTCAGTGAATTTGATTTCATTGTTTCGGCTTCTTCTTCCTCACAGACATAATTTTACTGCTTTGGATGTAAATCTTTCTTATTAATTTATTTCGCAACCATTGAAAACTCTGCCCTAGCACAATAATTTCAAATAAGACAGTACAATAACTAAGGTAACTCATAAATTTTCGTAGAAATGTTTGTAGAATCTCTTCAACTCAATTTGAAGGGTTTATTGCGATATGCATGTATTTGTTCTGAGTCACACTACCCATTTAGTTATTGAGTCACAAAGTGCATTTAGTCTCTCTAATACAGCAGTGTTGAACAACAGAACGAGACCTCGCTAGTGGCTTCGGCCATATCGAAGAAAGCGTGACTGCGTATAGGTGGAAATGTAGACTCGGTCGCCACAATCCAGTTTTCAAGCAAAACTTATATCTCTGAGTGGGGCCATACCGAATCCACAGCAACTCCCGCACACATCATTGTCATTCGTCTCGAGTGTGAAAGCAGACTAGGATCATGAGCTGCTAAATCTTCTAAAACTGTGCCTGACTTTATGGTAGCATAAATATCAAGTAAGTATGATTGATACTTGCACAACAATTTTCTGTCAGCTTGAAGAATGGATGATTTGACACATTCAAAGTAGAAGTTTTTCACAGCCAGCAAGTTTTTTCTTGATTGATTCACTGAAGGTCCATACAGTTTTCGGATTCAGTCTAACGGCAATCTTCAGGTTCCGCAACCGTAAACTGTTAAAAAACGAATACAAGTGCTACTGGGCATACTTACATAGATTGGAGATTATAGGCATGTGTCTATGGCGAGGAAGGCAATACGGACTATTTCAATTTTGAATATCGCAATACTCATCAAAAGGACCTACAGTAACCAACTCGTGAGCCAATAATCATGTTCCATAGGCATGATAATCTCGCCAATAATCCTGCCGCAAACGCAAAAAAAATATTTCCTCAGTAAACTATAATGTAACGTTGTAGGGATGTGTGTCACCGGAGTCATCGGCAAAACTTAGAGTTGCCACTTTGCAAAACGTGTCAGATTTAATTAGAAAGCTAGGTAATACAAAAATAGTGTTTGTACACTCACAATAAATTTGTCTTTCAAATGTAATTAAAAAAATCCGCGATTTGAAAGGAATGTGTTACCACTAAAGGAATTATAAAACACTAAAAGCAGATTCATATTAACTAATATTAATTATTAAGTAGGACCATGAATTTACACTAGCTGGATTCACTCAAATCATTTATATGTTGTATACACAAAAGGAATATAAAGAAAAGTGTCCGGTTTTTTTTTTTTTTTTTTTTTTTTTTTTGTGTGTGTGTGGTGTGTGTAATTCATAGAAATCTACAGTTTTATTCTGATTTTGACGAAATTTTGCACTTTTGGACTTTCAAACAAGAGTAATGCCACTGTCTACATCCTAGGTCCATGTCACCTTTACTGCGTTCCCACTATCAGTGGAATTCATACGTGCTAAGCAAGGAATTAATAATTATTTTTTACAAAACATATTAATATTTCTGCACAATTTAATTTTGAAATCAGGTTACTTTTAGGTTCACTGCTGTTTTTGCGTTCTCGATATGAGTTCCTTCTAAAACTGTTAGATGGCGTCATTTCCATTTACTCTTCAATATAGGGCAGAACTATCTCAAGCAGAGTATAACTTTAAAGAAGAGTTATTAAATATGATCTCTATCAGATTTTTGTTAATATTTTGAAAACGGTTAAGAAATCGCCAAATGCATGGTGATTTTTTGAAAAAGACATAACTAATAGCAAAGCAAATACCAATTATTAGTTTTAGTTCTACTTTTGTACAATTCATCTTGAATTAAAACAAGAGGAAGATCACCGTCTGTCTGAGATTTAGAAAAAACTCCCCCCCCCCGTTTTCCTAAATGAATGTTCTTTATTCCACGTAAAGCAGAAGATCAGTTTCGCCAACGCAGATCTATAATAATGCCAAAACTGAAAATAGTATTTATCAATCATAACCAATCGTAATCTTTTAAAAAAGTATCTGAATTGTGCCCAGATTTTAATTCGGTGCGAAATAATCACATTTATTACTGTGAAGAGAAGATTTTGAGATTTTTTAAACTTAATTTCTAAAAATTCGTGATAAAAAAGAGATCTAAGGCCAAAAACATAAAATGTGTACTCTTCATGATTAGAAAAATACTCGTTTTGTAAACAAAATTAAAATTCGATTTTTTGGCGATAAGAAATAAAGTCTACCGCTTTTTAGGAAAAGAATGCAATTTCAGCATACACCCTTCGACTGCCAAGCGGAGCGGAGGCTTTGAGAGGGTGTATTGGAAACTCATTTCAAATAAACGGCATGAATGTTGCTGAAAGCACATTTAAAATAAACGGCATTTTGAAAAGACATAATTTTGAAAATACCGTTTGCTGACATTCTCAAATGTCGAACACAAAAAGGTCCATTCAAGCGCGATCAATGCCGACTCATCGGCTGCGAATTGCTTTACTGTAACTAAATGATCCAAACTACTCTTTTAAATTCTATTAAAATTATCTTGCGACAAAAAGATTCGGAGAAGAATTATTCAAAATAATGTAAGCCTTAGGATAGATGTTTTGAAAAATCAAATATTTACATCCAAAGTAAAATTTTAGTACCTTTCTTAGACGTAATATAATCTAATTTTCTTCAAATAATATGCACTTGGCATTAATATTGTTACGTTATTTTCTTCCTTCACGTTCGTACGGGGTTCGTAGATTTGGAGTGAATAAATACGACACTTGATGAAGTATCGAAACACTCTTTATGTACCAGTATTGTCAGGACAGCTCCAAAACACGTTTTACAGTCGTCGATGAACTACTATAAACAGCTGGAACAATCAGCGACACAGCCTTCATCAGGTCAGGCAATAACGGTGGAGACAGCTTCCTGCAAAGCATCCGACTCTGCTTGGTCGTTCTCGGAACTCACCGTACTCTCGAGACTCTCCCCGCTACAACTCACGATGCACTCGACGACACACGAGCACAGCTCTCGACTCTTCGGTTTAGTCGTTCCCGGAACTCAACACGCTCTCTCGACGATGCACTAAACGCGATACACTATTGAGACTCTTTCGGTGCACTCAAAGACCAACTCGGCACTCGCTGTCGGCTGTCAACTCGATCGACTCCGCAAGGATTGACTCGCTAGACGAGACACCAACTCGATACTAACTAACTCGCACTCTAGACGAGGCACACACCACTAACTGACTGCGGACCAGCAGGGTTTATATGGCTTTCGGCTTGTGTTCGAGAACATTCTGGGCTAAACCGGTAAGAATTCGTTCCAGAAGTTTCTCCATCCGCCCATGGTATATCGCCAATTTTGTCGCCAAATGTGACAACCCTGCCTTCCCTTGTCATTTTATGGCAACCTTAAAAGTGCTTTGCGTTGAAGCTATCTTACCGAGCCTGGACATTTCGTAACAATATAGAACTCAGCTTTGTACTCACTTGCGCTGATTTATACCTTAGCGCTATTAAGGAAAATTCTTCTTCTAGGTAAATCGACAGGGCTTGTAACCACAACACGGGTTACTCATGCAACTCCTGCTGCCATGTACGGCCATTCAGCCAGCAGGTACTGGGAAAGTGATGACAAGATCCCCGAAGATGCCAGGTCTTCCTGCAAAGACATCGCTCGACAGCTAGTGGAAAACGACCCTGGACGCAATATCAACGTAAGATTCATGACTGTTTCTTTTCAAATGTCTGGGATAAGATTAAAATTTTGGTCAAAATTATAAATTTATTTTATAGCAAAATTTTGTACAGGATAGTTAAAAAATATTACATAACTAAATAACGTTTGAATGATTGGTTATAGACCCATGGTTCCTCTTGAAGAAATGGAAAATGAAATTTTAAAACTTCAGACTACGATAATTTTTGTCTCGTAATATTTAATATGAAGATACGAAACATAACTTTTTTAATCAGCCGCAGAGCAAATATTATCTATAAAAAAGGTATTTTCCAAAGTAAAAAAAAAAAAAAAAAAAAAAAAAAAAAAAAGGTTGTCTTCAAATTTCAGATTACATCTGGAAAAAAAATAATGCACTTTTTTAACCTAAGAAAATATAGAACTTACAAATACTACACTTTTTATTAAAGATAATAATATACTGAAATCCTCTGAGTTGGCTTCCGTCCCAGAGTCAGATAATAATATACTATTATTAACAAGATTAAATAAAATGTTTGTTTTTGAATAAAATTAAAATTCAACTCAAAATAAATTTTTTAATTTAAGATCTCTGCTGCTTTTTTCTGTATTTTATTTTGGAGTGCAAAACTGTATAAACAATAGAGGTACTTTTCCGTTTTCTCGGCGGAAACGCTAAAGTCGCCAATAATGGTACAACTGATGCCAAACGGAATAGCTTCGCTGGTAACCTTTTACGCCTCAGTTTCAAAACAAGTTGCAGCCATTTTTTTTATCAGATTGATTGTTTCTTTCAATATTGGCATACTATTACATAGAATTTTTACAAAATAGTTGAATTTTATCCCCTAAGACAATTCGCGGTAATTAAGGCAATTAGAATGCAATCACACCGCTCATCCGAACGCGAAAATATAGAAAAGGCAAAATCAAAGGTTAAATTCATCCATTCTAATGAGAATGCACTAGCGAAGTAAAGCACTGCGGTTTTACATAATTTATGAGTAAGCTATTCGTACGAATTAAAATAATTCTTGCATTTAAACTTGAATTCCAAATTAAGATTTAACTTGAAATTAATGTAGATAATTACTAAGAGAATTAGATTTTTGTAGCGTAGTTTACATGAGATCACTTGGGTCACGTGATACGAACCGGCGAATCAGGATTTTGAACCTTGAAAGCATAGTAAATTCTTATTGGCTGTTTACAAATTTTTAAACCCTATTAAAATGTTTATGCCTTCAAAATAAAAATTCTTAAAATTAACATTTGTTAACATTTTTTATGTGTATACTGTATGTTGTCGCCAACAAAGTCTGCTTGGCGAGATTTGCGCCAGCAAAACGGAAAAGTACCACAAAGGTAAATCGAAATGTTAAAAAATACGAGTATATTCCCATTTAAACAACTTTAAAAGAAGAAGCATGTATATATGCGTGTGTTACTACAGCATTTTTAATAAAATCATCAAAATTTATTCTGAATACAAATGGTATTATGCACAAGAAGCAGGATTAAGAATTTTGCTTTCGACCTGTTTTAGGATATAGGAAATCTATTTTATTTATGACACTTTATTTATGAAAAATCGTATCTTGTTAAAAGTTGATACAAACTACAGATAAAAGGATGTTTTAGTGATTAATTGAGGTGACCCTAATGATAAACTCAATTTTATATTCTGAAGTGAATTAAAAATCTTAAGCATCTCAGATTCCCAACGTTATCTATTGATAATGAAGAGCATCTTGTCTATAACTGAAAATAATAATATTTATAGAAGGTGTCTGAAATATTTATGCTCATACTCTTAGACAAAATTTGCTAAGACATTACTTTATACATAAATGTGCGTAGGTAAAATTATAAAATTTTGATCAAACAGAAAGCTGCTTCTTAATTTTACTAATTTATTAATTATTTAATTAAGTATGACGACAAATGTAGTTTTAAATGTTTATAAATTAAATGTTTGCAAACATACAGGATATTTCGAATGGGTCACACAATTAAATATCCTACTAATGGTTGAATTTAGAGCTATTATTTCTTTCAAAAAATAAATTAAACAAGAGAGGTTTTCAGATTACGGTTATTTATATTAAGAGAACCATTACTTTATTAGTAGCAATGATTTAGTAGCTATGCAGATATTTTTAATTTTTAGCATATTTTATCAAAAGCTGCAATTTAGCGAAAATATACGTGTATATTTTAAATTTTTATGTGGACCTCCTTCGAAAAAGGTTCTAATTCTTAAATTATTGTTTACTATTTATCCTACTGAATGTTTTTTTTAAATGTATTTTTATAGCATGAAAAATTCGCCCTGAATCTAATTTTTGAAGTTATGCGACTTAAAACTGTGTTATTCAAAGATAGGAAATGGCATTTTGTACAATCGTACAAAAATTTAATTTAATCAGATTAATTTTTTTTTAAATGCAACATTTTTATAAATAGAAATTTAAAACCCATTATCGTAATTTAATGTTGAGACTTTTGCATTTTCAAATCGCATGAGTATTTTATTGCAATATGCAGAGGAGCGTTATGTTTTTACTAAATATTTTGATATCTCGGTGGTTTCCTACCCGAGACCATTTTGTTGACCATTGATATGACCATTTTGTTTTCCGGATCTGAATTCCTTTTTTTTTTCCTTTTCAGTAGCACTTTCAGTTTACAAGACCCGTAGAAAACTTTATATTCTGTATAATTTTATTAAAAGGGTTTGTAACGAAAGAAAAAAAATCTCTCTGTTCTCATTTTGAGGTTCGACTGGTGGATATGACTATGCTTTCCCTCCCTTAACTTTTGAATTTCGGCTGTGTTTGCGTTGCCGGCAAGTAAAACGAAAACTACGCTGTAACCCCGTGACTCTGCAGTTGCTATGGCAGATATATAATCTACTACCAATTGTAATCTATGTCTTTTGTAATTATTTCATGTTATATTTTTAAAAGAAATATATTGAAGTTACTTGTCTAGTCTTTATTTTGGGAAGAAATGCTATTTCCAGACACAAACTAAAACTATTATTATTTCTAAATTAGTATTAGTTCTAAAAGTTAATTTAACTTTATTAGTTTGAAACTGAAACTACTTATCTAAGCAATATCGTTCAATAAGTACTATTTAATCATGTAATCGTTTGAAATTATTTGACAATGACTGCGTTTGTGTATATTTTTTCTAACTTGAAAACGAATTGTCTTCCACTAGGTTATTCTTGGTGGTGGTCGTCGCCATTTTCTGCCTCGTAAACAAACCGATTCCAAGTTGCAAAATGATATGGGTCGACGAGAAGATGGCAGGAATCTCATTGAAGAGTGGCTTATAGACAAGAAGACACGAGAATTAGATTATGAGTATGTATATAGGAAAGAAGATTTCGACAAGGTAGATCCATCTAAGACAGATTATTTGCTAGGTGAGTTTATTAATTACCCTAATAGTTTCAGATAAATACTGCCCATGATTCTCTGTCCATATATACGTTTAATTTGATACTCTACGAGGTTTTGTGAAATTTGGTGTCTAACCTCGTATTCTCAAACTGGTTAGCGTTCCGCCAAAATATTTAAACCTGTGCGGTAAAGGTCAAGATTTACTGATTACAATAAATTTCTGTTTCTATGCCTTGAATGTCTAGATAACTTCAGAAAGAATTTTTCTGTGTGGTTTTTATTTCGATAAAAGTCTCCATTCACTAATTGACTTGATTATTACTGTCTCAATTTTCTCATCTTAAAATTGTAAGCTTAAAGTTTCGAAGATTGCGTATTTAGCTTTTAGGGGTGAATAGATCAAACTTAATTTATTGTTATATTTTAGTTGAAATGTTTGTGTGTTATATTGGAAGAATAGCAAATAATAAAATTGCAAAGAAAATTTTACCAGGTATCTAAATCGTTTTACAAAAACTGAACAGATTTTGAACCTCCCCACTTAACTCGTCTCGCCAATAAGATGTAACATTTTTCATTATCAGTAATTTTGTTTAAGTTTTTCTCATGATAAACAATCATTTCTTTCAATCAAATCAGGTCTTTTCAATCATGGTCACATGGCTTACGAAGTAGACAGAGATTCGGGTCCAGACGGAGAGCCATCTTTAGCCGAGATGACCAAAAAAGCTATTGAAATTCTGAGGAAGAACCCTCGAGGATATTTCCTTATGGTGGAAGGTAAAGTTGCTATTATTTTTCTTTTATATAAGAAAGTGGTCATCAGTTCTTCGTTACTGATTACAATAAATTTCTGTTTCTATGCCTTGAATGTCTAGATAACTTCAGAAGGAATTTTTCTGTGTGGTTTTTATTTCGATAAAAGTCTCCATTCGCTAATTGACTTGATTATTACTGTCTCAATTTTCTCATCTCAAAATTGTAAGCTTAATGTTTCGAAGGATGTGACTCTGCCTTTTACTGTTAGGTGGACGCATAGATCATTCGCATCATTTCAACAATGCGCACCGGGCTCTCATAGATACTCTGGCCCTAGAGGATGCTGTTTTGGTGGCTCTTGAAATGACAAAGCCAGAAGACACATTAATGGTTGTCACTTCTGATCATTCTCATGTGTTTGCTTTTGGAGGATACCCAAAAAGAGGGAATCCTATTTTGGGTAAGTGAAAGGTGAATTAGAATTATGTAAGAATAGTGAAATGACAAATTAATATTATTTTACTGAATATTCTTAAATTCGGATTTATAATAAGGAATTTTTAAATTACAAATGATGCGATATTTTAATGACTTTATAACGTCTCGTATGCTTAGCTATTATAAACGGAGCTCGACGTTAGCAGCCTGTTTAGTGTAGAACTTTAAAGAAAGAAGAACTTGTAGATGTAGAACTTTGTAGAACTTTAAAGAAATTTAGAGACTAGTGAATAATAACTAAGTATTTAAAGTTCTACGAAGTCTTAAGAAGGGTGGAAAGGATATTTTATTAGTTCAAATAACGTTCATAGATAGCACCAACTCGGGTTTACAAGGCCAACACTTTAGATTTAATTCAAAAGGTAATGAATAACTTTAAACTAATGAAGTTAAATATAGCCAAAGGCTTCCCAGCTTAACTATCGCGCAAGTTGGCTCTGATCCGAAAGCCGGTGTAAACAAGCCCAATGGCAAGAATAGCTCAGTGCCATAGAAGTCTACTTCCTTGAGAATCAGAGATATCGACGTGGCCCTTCAAGCAGGTAGAACACGCTCTGACTTCACCTTCCAAAACCTTCCCTTAAATACTTTCTACCTCATCTAAATGCACGCGCGCTAGTCAGTTTGCATTCTGGCAAGAAAGTGTAAGTTGAAAATAAATCTCCGCAACTTTGAGCAGCAAATTTCTCGGATATTTAAGTTTATATAGTCCTTATTAATTCTGTTTATATATATTATTATTTATTTTTTGCAAAGTTGATTAGAATTGGGGGTGATATCACAAAGTGATAACGCACGTTTTTGTTTAGAATAGTTTACAGTACTGATACCTAGAAGAACTTAAAATCGAAAACTAGTTAAGAATTTCTTTTTTATATGTACCATGCAATCAAGAGGAAAACATTACCATTTGTGGGAAGATAGCAACAATTGACATTCTTTTTGCAATACACCTGCAGTATATCATATTTTTAAAACGCTTTAATTTGCTTCATGCCAGAAATAATGCCGTTTGCTTTTCTTAATTCAAGGACTGGATAATAAAAATTCTGATGTGGACAGCATGCCTTACACAACACTGCTCTATGCCAATGGACCTGGTTATAATCATAACTTTCCAACTGGACGGGAAAATTTAACAGGAATGAACACAGGTAATACTTCCTCTTTTCTTCCCAGTTTATTAACATTTTACTTTTGCATACAGCTGGTTTGCATTGGGAACGTTTAAAAAAACATAGGTTTGAACTGTTAGTATCTGTAGCATTTTTATGAAGAATACGAGCCTTCATGGAGAAATTCTAAAGATATACAGCTGCATAAGAATAAGCATTATCGATACTCATCACCGAAAAATATCAAAAAGAAATGCAAATTTCAAATTTACGTCTTGGGTATTTGATATATTATAGACTTTTCTGAATGTATAATTTTATCATTTTAAATACGATACATTGCATTTTAAGCATCAGAACGACTACATCTTTTGCCTCGTATATCAGCTTCTTGCTTCTTTTATGTACTTTTCACTTTTTCTGAATATGAAATGATAACCAGCAGATAATTTGATACTGTATATTTCTACGATGAAAAATGTAATTTCTGGAAATTTCCTCCTGGAAAGCCATATAAAAACGTGGCTTTAGTATGACATTCCAGGAAGATTTGATTCATTAATATATTCATTCTTCTGTAAGAGTATTATTTCTTCACCTATTCGTTTATTTTGAAATTAAACTAAATCTGTTTCAGAGGATAAGAACTACGTTCAACAAAGTGCTGTTCCTCGTCGGTGGGATACACATGGAGGTGAAGATGTCCCGGTTTACGCACACGGTCCTATGGCCCATCTTTTCAGAGGAGTGTTAGAACAAACCTATGTACCGCATGCCATGGCCTATGCGGCTTGCATAGGACCTCAGAGGAATGACTGTGAACGCCGCAGACATGCTTTTCACAGACAAGTTATTGAATGTCCTTCACCACAGTCGCATTCGTCCGGACTAATACTTCTGCCTACTTCATCCCTCGTACTAGCTTGGGTTCTTGTTGGACTGATACTTCATACCGTAACATGATAGAAACAAGATCCGGAATATCTGGTTGCATTTCAAAAGCCTTAACTTATTTCGAAGACCAAGTAAAGACGTTTATAAAAGTATGCGGAAGAGTTGTGTAACAAACTGTAGTGTATTTATTACGCCTTCAAAGCATAGTCTATACCACGCTCCCGTGCAATATTATGACTGATAACTCGCCAGAAAATCTTTCAGCTGGCTGTAATAGTGCAATGGGACATGATAAAAACGTGGTAAATTAATGCTATCGCCAGCATTAAGAATGACAGTTTACGATCTTAACTCTTATCATGTACTGTAAAGCTTATTTTCGTTCAAGTATTCTTTAACACAAACTACAATAACTTAGTTATTAAAAGGTGGCAAATCGTTGATTTGTAGCCTTGTGTGAATATGGCTGTTCAAAGCGGATTCGGACGACAGTACTACAGACTAAGACAAACCTATCAATGTATGTAATACCACTGTGTATTTTAAATCATGTGTGTATATGGTGTCTGTGTTATGTATAAAGTTTTGGAGAGTTGTAAGCTCCGGAAGGTTCTTCCATTTTCTTCAGGTCTTTAATGACTTTCAAAGGCATTGACTGAATTTGGTATAGAGATGTTATTAACAGCGCTTTTTTATATCTTTATGCTAAATGTAAAAGACGTTCTCCCATACTTAAGTAAAATGCTTCAAACCAAAAAAATTAACGATTTCAGTAAAATAATTTCATTTTCATGTGAATTAAATCACGGTTGAAAATACTTAATGTGGCATTACAAAAACCTTTCCAGAGCTAAAACATTCACCAGGATCAATTACATTAATATATGTCTACTTAATGCTCTCTTTTAAAAATCGCTTTACATTAGCCTTTGGTTTGGAGTTATAAGCTTCTTGTAAGCTTATAAGGAGTAACCTTTCCTTCTTAACATTTTAGCCCACCAGAATCGAAGAAGTTAAGCTCATTAACCGCTAATATTACATACTTATTATACAGTAAAGTGAAACACGGTTGCATGGGTTTTCATATACCTCATGTATAACACAAGAGCGAGCCCATTCCCTTATAACAATTCCCGAAATGGTATTCCTCCTAAAGCAAAGGAACTGAAAGCGCTTTTTTGTAGAAGAAAGACAGTTGTTTGCTTTCTCTGAAAATGTGAAAACTTTAAGGCGTCCTTCTTAAGCCTTTTAGAGCTAAAATGTGTATTTCGAAAACTGGGAAACATTTTATAAAACTCTAACTGTAAAAAAGTCTTGTTTTTAATAAAATAAAAACAATGTTTCTAACTATTGCGTTAATTATAAGTTAGTTTAAAATCAACCTATTAATAGGTTATAAATAGGTTGATAAATATATTCTCAGAGATCTAATTATCGAATAGTTTCTGCAGTTTAGGAATAAAAGTTTATATTTCAAATCTTTCCGGATATTAAATAAAATATTTAAGAGAAATGAAAATGCAAAAGATTTATATTTCTATAATTTCAGAAATAAGTTACTCGTAGAAGTAATGATCATTTCACTACCGAAAATCGAGTTAGGAATTTCTTGGCGTTTCAGTAATATCTAAGCTGATGTTTTTTACAGCATAATTAGGTTAGATAAGATTATATTAAAGTACAAAAAATGTGGCATAGCTTAAAGCGAATGTCTTCCTTCCCCCTGCGCTACGATTCCACTAGTTGATACAAAATCATTGCATTTTTCATCAGTATTCTTGAGTATGAGCGATATGACATATCATATTTGTACAGCTAAGTTGTATTTGTACAGTTCTAAACATTAAAAATAAAAATTTTCAACGTGCTTCCAAATTTTTTACATTTTCACAGAAAAAAAATCAGAATTTTGAGGATATTTCATGCTTATCTCCTTAAAAATAAATTTATTTATTTGATTATAATGCACAATTTTCCATAATTTTAAAATCCAATCGTGTCCACTTACTTAAATCGTTGTAGTAAATCAAAGCAGCTGAAGTTACAAGTAAAAACTATGAAAACACTTAGCCTGAATGTATTATAAATGAAGAGCTAATGTACATAAACTATTTTAAAACTGATAAGTATATAAAATTGTTGTTTAACTAACAGTGTACAGAAGAAAAAATTCTAACACAGATAAGTATGATTTGTTCACGCTGTGTATTTATAATTATAGTTGTCTACGTTTCTGATTTATAATTTATGGATGGTGTTTCAGAAGATATAATTTTTGTGTATAATTTATTTAATAGTTATTGTTAAATGAATAAGTCCTGTTATGCATCCTTCTCTATCTGTACATATATATGTAGAACCTTTTTCTGTTTGAAAATGTGTGAGCACTTACTGCCTGTGGCAGATAATCACATGAAGTTATTCTTTATAAAGCTGATTTCGTATCACTGTGTATATGTGATTAATTATAAATTCGGCGAACTTTTTCTGTATTAAATATCTTCCGAAGATCAACTGTTATATTATTTTTAAACTTTATATGTTGTAGATATTTCTTATATATTTTAGATATGTAGATCCTGCCGAATGTTTTTTGATTCGGGCATTGCTTTAGTTATCGAGTACGAAATGAATAAGAAATGAAAATACGCTTTCGAATATTTAAAAAAATGATTTTTAAGTCTATCTAAAATAAATAATTAATAACATTTTTATTCTAATGTTATTATAAAAACATAATAGGAAATAAATTTGTTTTTATGAGTGAAATTTTAATTAATAATTGATTTTCTTTTCCATTTTTCACATAAAGTCCATACAACACTTGTCTATTGTCAACGCCTTTTTAACATTTAATTTTCTGAACTTAGTCGGAGTTCCTCCTCGAAAGTTTTAATTTTAGGAATTTTATCAAAAAAGATTTTAGAAATTCTATAAAAAATTATACTTTTAAGAACTCCACAACAAAAATGCAGTTTTAAGAGTTCCCCAAAACAAAGTTGTAGTTTTAGAAAAAGAATATAGCTTTAGAAGTTCACAAAATAAAATTAAAAAAATATAGAAAATTTAAAAAAAAAAAAGAAATCTGAAAGTTTTCAGATTTTACATTACGCCCAAAGGAGCGTTTTTCTAACATTTTGTGTATTACCTTTATTTTTTTAAGCGCTCTTCGCACTTAAACCATAAAATTCCAGTTCAACAGCAATATCGCAAAATAATACTCAAATGAGCACATCTTTAGAATTTCAGATACACAGTCTGGCACGCTGGAGATAAAAATATTGCTCTTTCCTCGTACAGTGTTGCCATTGCTCGCTTTGAAGTCCATGAGTTTGTTAATCAAAAATTCGTTACACTTTTACAAAATATAAAATAGATAATAAAACAAATTCTAAATTCCAAATTTGAGATTTCCAGATGCGCATATTCGGGTGGAAACGTACGCTATTCAAAACTGGATGGCTCTAGGTACCGCTGTTTTATCACAATGCGTGAAACACACATACATTTATGCATATTCTTCATTACTTAATTTCTTTAAATATAATACAGGGCTCTAATATTTGATGGCAACAATTTAAAAAGTGAACCTATATTTATAGTGAACCAACGTAAAGTGTCAAAACAAAATTAATAGTCTTTCTGGGCAAATTGCCCCTTTGGACTAATTGTGTAGGCGTTCTATGAAAAACATATAGTTTTAGGTGTTCCACGAAGAAACACAATTTTAGGACTTCCCCCCCCCCAAAAAAAAAATTAAAATTTAGGGATTCTGGCATGACACAAAATAAAATTATAATGCATATAAGTAGTTAGTATCTTTAGACAGCTATATATAATGGCAAAATAAAATGATATGAGTCTAAAAGACGGATAGTTTATATAGAATAGACAAGTCTTGCTTCAAACGTTACGAAATCGTTGAAATTGGTTTTGGAAGTCCTCCAAATGAATTACATTTATAGGAGTTCCACAAAATAAAATTCTAGTTTTAAAAATCCCACAAAACAAGATTAGAATTTTATGGGTTCAACAAGGAAAACATAATTTTAGTAGCTCCAAAGAACAAAATTTTAATTTTAGGGGGCTTCACAAAGAAAATATTATTTTAGGAGTTCGACAAAATAAATTTATACTTACAGGAGTTTTCCTAGACGATAAAGTTTGAAGACCACTTCTCTAAAGGAATATTTACATAAATTTTTCATTTCTGCAAATTGTTAAATAATAAGATAGAAAATTTTAAATCTGCGTAACTAGCTCATATAGATTTATACGTTCTTGAAGTTGAAAATTCAAAGTGTCAAATATTTTCATAGCTGCATGTTGGTTACATGCATGTTTACTAAACATATTCTCTGTGATATCACTGTGTTGGGCATAATATCTTACCTCTTTGAACATTATATGAGTCTAGTAATACCTTGTACATAATATTATAACTAGTTTTAGAGTTTGAGAAGCAGGGTGTTCGATTTATCTGTGAAATACATCCGTGGAGATGATAATGTTTCATTAGCAGCATTTTATGAATTATTTTATCTAAAAGATAGTAGTTTATTTAATTTTTTCTTTAGAGATATTTATAAATATTTGTTAACTTACAGAAATGATTCCTTTAGTTCATACCTTTCACGTAGATACTTATTAACAATTTTCCTGTTCGAGCCAAATGTACCGCTTTTGCGAAAGGGTGGTCTAGCTTTGCATTAAATTAAGAAAAACTGTCTTACAGCAAAACATGTGACAACTATTGAGAAAGCAAAGCAAGCTTTAAAATTTCCAAATAGATTTCTTCTTATTCTTATTCCCCTGGCTTTTGACGTTGCTTTTATGAATAAAAATTTTTGCCTTTATTATTCCATTATTTTTAGCCTATTTGCAATCACTTCCGACAGAAAAATTTTAATACCATTCCTCATTTTAGATCTTTTGCCTTCTTTTTGACATTATATTGTCTTACTCAAAATATATGCATTTTCTTTTGTTAATGTGCATATACGTTTTATATGTGTGTGCGTTTTCGTTAAACATTTATACTCATGCATTGTCTAAAAATTGTTCTTTAGCAAATTTAACTCAGGCTTTTGTTTGTAAAATTTGTTAGTCAATTTGAATTTTATTAAATTAGATTTTAAATGGAGTTCGATAACATATTAAAATTAAATTCAAAAATGAGGTGCTATTAAAAAGCATCATTTATGAAAAGAATAGTCTGTTTAGTAATTCATATTAAAAGAAAGAAACATAAGGATACAGTTAAAACTTTTGTTATAATTATCAAATCAAATATAAACTAGCGATGAAAACTGAAGTGAATTTTATTTGATTGAAATATTTGCAGAGCTTTATAAAAACGAACATTATTTTAATTTCCATATAATTTTTTTTTCCTTTGCGCATGTTACGAAAAGTGCAATTTTCAGAAAAAATGTGATGATTAATTTTACACTCAAACTAGGTACTAACATTAATTCCAAATGAAAATACTTATTCCTGTTTCAACAAGAGGTACTTAAAGTCAACAACTGAGTGCATATCTTCAAAGTATATTCAATGCAAGTTATTTTTTCTTGCCCAACAACTTTAGAAAACTAACAATTGTGTTTTTTTTTTTTTTTTTTTTTTTTACTTTAGTGAACAACCGGTGTAAATCTACGAAAATAGTTTATCAATTATATGAATGAAAACAGTTCGTGTAATGTAAAATATTACCTAATAACTAATAGAAATACATCAAACTATGCAATATTGTTATGTTTAAAAAATATTTTAAGCTGAGGATTTAATAAAGATAAAGGCATTCAGTATTCATCGACCGCGCCATGTTAATGCTAGAAAGTCAGAAGGTTCACAAACTGGTTTCATTAAAAGCCAAAAAAATGCTACAAAAATCTTTAACTATAATTTGATATTAATGATTGTATAAAAAATCGCATCTCAATAAAATTTCATCTCATAGTTGACATTCAACATCAATGCCTTTTTTTATGCATACTACAATAAATTTCTAGGTTATGCATACTACAATAAATGTCTATGCATACTACAATAAATGTCTATGCATACTACAATAAAGTATTTGAAAATCACATAACAGCCTTTATTAAAGTATATTTCGTTTGTACTGTTTCAAATTGCTTAAATAATCTATCATTATCGTCTGCTATTTACTAATTAAGAAAGTAACGGTGAACTTAAGACTTGAAAGTATTTCCTTATTTATGTATGTTTCATATAGATATAGATTCCTTTTCAGTTACCATTCACAAGTTGTGGAAAGTGCTTACGAAGTTTAAAGAGTTTTAATGTATCTTTATGAACTATAGAAATTCCTTACGAGAACTAAAAGAATAATAATATTCTCAGTCGTATAATATGATAAAATGGTGTCATTTTAATTCGTAGTTAAAAATATAAAATCATCCTAATTAAACTGACTATTTTTATTTTGAGCAATGCAACTCATTAGCAACATATTTTAAACAATGTTATGTAATATAAGTCAACGAAACGTTTTCTTAAATTCCTTGAAGCTGTACGTAACAGTAAGGTAAAGGGTCTTTACAAATAATATTTCATGAATATAAACTGATAACTGTTTTGATTAAACTCCAAAATTTCTTTCAGATTTAATACATATCCATAACTCTAGTACCAATATATCTGAAACTTGAAAGCTTCCGATTATAGACTAACATCTCAAACAATTTTAAGAAGTTAGAAAATTATTTCAAGAATATAAAAATCATAAGATTAAAAAAAATTGCAGTCCAGATTTCCGTTAACACCTGAAACACTTTAAAGCTATACAGTTACGGAAGGCTCAATAATTTACGAATTAGTGCGTCAGAAATTACAGATATAGAATATGAAATCTTACACATAAAATGATCTGTTCAAATTGGCGGTTTGATATAATACTGTTTGATATTGACTTACATGTAGAAATAATTTCACTTATTTAAGGATAAAAGATTTAGGCATTAAAGACATAGTTGTATATTTATTTCATCAAATTATCTGCACGTAATGAGAACTTCTATCTCGATTTAAGTATTTTATATATCTTCTACAATTTTAAGCTATAATCTGACGATCTTCTTATGCTTCTTTACAGTTTAAAATTTACGCTTTCAAAAATTAAAAATTAATTTCTGAAAATTCAAAATAATTTCATGATTGTATATACAATAAAATGTACGTTTAAACATGCAATAACTTTCATGTTAGTGCTGCCTTGTCTCGTTATTTACAAAGTTAAAATTGCATAGAATCACATGACTAACGTGTAATTCCTTGAGTACTGGTATATAGAAAATAATTTTCTAAACGGTTCACATTTATTTCTGTTATTTGGAATTTTAATTTCAAATTTCATTCTAAATATATTTTAATCTTTCCAAATAATGACTAATTATATGAGTTGATGGTAAACTGAATGGTAATAAAAAAAATTGAAATGACCATCCAATTAGGTAAATTTAATCATAATAGTTTCCTTTTATTTTTTCTATTAAGTAATACTTTTAATATCTTAAATTTACTGAATTCTTTTACGTAATATCTATGAACAATTTGTAAATGAAACTAAACCCGATATAGGTTGTTATTTAAAGAGAAATAAATTCGTTATTTTTATAATCAGTGACAAGATATGTCAGGTAAGGATGCTTATTTATAATTTATCTTCCTTCTGAAAATTTTGTTAATTTGTTCTTTCTTTTGCTAAATGCAAAAGAATAGTTTAATGCTTTTGCAAGCGATGTTATAAAATGTTCCCTGGATATTTTATCGTTCAAAATGTATGTTGTAAGATTTTTGTATTAAAAATAAATATGTATGTCTGTTGTTGCTATCTTGCGTAATCATTTATGCATGTTCGCTGGAGATTCCAAAACCTTTTTTCGAAACAAATTTATTTTTAAGAACTGCTTCGGTTTTTTACAATTCTTAATTGAATAATGATACATTAGCATCAGATAGCACAGCATTATTATTAGGTACCTTAGCATCATTAGTGATAGAACTATGGATAAATTCAGAATTTCAATTAATTATCCAAGTATTCAATTTCCAGTATCGGTTCAATTTCAAAATTAACTCTAGTACAGAGTTTGAGAAAATAGAAGCGTCATCCTGTAGTACTCACCAAT